ATCAATTCCAATAATAAATATTTAGACACCTTCAACTCTTTTTCCCCCGGTAGAGGCTAGTACAAGAAAGGTTGTTTTATAATTTAATTCCAAAGTCTATGGCAGCTCATACCTGTAATCCTAGCATGGGAAAGATTGAGGGAAGGGGAGTCAGCCCAGGTTATACAGTGGATTCATGCTAGGCTGGCCTAGATTGAGGCTGAGATATTGCTCAAAACAAAACAAAACAAACAACAAAAGAACACCTAAGGTTTAATTTTTGTGACATACTGGGTTTTTTATTTTTCTAAGAAAAAAATTATTAAGGTGTATTACCAAAAGCAACTTACAGACTAAATGCAATTACTGTCAAAATTTCAACTTTTTAAAAAAATAGAAACAACAAAAATCCAAAAATTCATATGGAAGCACAAAAGACCCTGAATAAGCCAAAGCAAAACAGAGCAAAAAAAATATGGGAGGTATCTCATTTCAAGATGCACTACGGGCCATAACAAAGATGGCATGGTACTGGCACAGAAACAAATTTGTGGACCAGTGGAACATATAGAAAATATGGAATAAACCCCACAATGATAGCCACCCGATTTTTAACAAAGATGCCAAAGCCTATTTTGAAGAAAAGCCAGCCTCTTCAACAAATGGTGCTAGCAAAACTGGATATCCATGTGTAAAGGAACAAAATTAGAACTGTACCTCTCACTTTAAGGAAAAACAAAATCAATTCAAATCTTTATATAAGATTGAAACTTTGAAATTGCTAGAGGGAAGCATAAGGAAAGCACTTAAAGATACCAGCAAAGGCAAGGACTTTCTAGAAGTATCAGGAAACGATAGCAAAAGCTGGCAAATGGGACTGATGAAATTAAAAGGCTTCTGTGCAAGTGAAGAGACAGCTTATGATGGGAGAAAAATCCTTACTAGTTCCTGACCAAAGTATCTAGACTCCATTAAAAAAAAAAACAAAACCAAAAAAAAAAAAAAAAACCACCAAAAAACCCAAACAATCCAGTCTGTAAATGGGCAAAGGAAATGAACTCTCAAAAGATGAAATACAAAGAACTAATAAGTATTTTTTTTAGAAGTTCAGCATTCTTGGCCATTAGAAAATAGAAATTAAAACACTGAAACTCCATCTCATCTCCAGTCTGAAAGACTATCATTAGGAAAGCAAACACCAAATGTAGCTAGGATGGTGGGGGCAAGGCAGCCCTTGAACGTTGCTGGCAGGAGTGTAAATTACTCTAACCAGTATGGAAATTAGTAATAAAGGCTCCTAATTAATAATAATAATAAAACAGAAATAGAACAACTTTATGAATTACCTTTGCCACTACTGGGAATATACCCAAAGAACATAAAATCAACATAAAACTACATTTTATTATTTTGTCTTAAGCTTTTTTTGTTGGTGGTATTTGTTTGTTTTGAGACCCTGTCTGGTTATGGAGCGCAGGCTAGTCTCAAACTCGAGATTCTCCTCAGCTTCCTAAGGCCAGGATTACAGACATGTGCCACCACACTTGGCTGAAATTTCTGTAGTATAAGGGAGCAAACCCAGAGCAGTATGCATAGTGGGCACTTGTTCTACCAGGAAAGTACATCCCTGTACCAACCCCATCCTAGATTCCTGATAGCCACAAGGTGAGCAATTTTACTCCTTAAATCATTCTCTGCTGGGCTTCTGCCCCACCAGTCCCAAAACCCTGAACAGACCATGGCCAGAAAGCCCTGAGTCAAAATCAATCTTTCATTCTTTAAACTGTTTCTCCCAGGTATTTGTCGTAGTGATTAAAAAGCTAAGACAGTGCTCAGCGTAGGATAAAGCTAAGGAATCTTTCAGGATGCAGTTTACAAAAACAGAAAACGTACCTTAATGAGGCAAAACATTGAGTTTTAGTGGACCTAACATTGTACCCCATCTTTAACAGTTTTACTAAATCCTTCAGAAACTGAGATAGCAGAACAAATGAAGAATGGGTGAAGTATTCAATACAAAAGACCTTGGATTATCTCTGTAGCTGCACACTTTGCAAGTTCCTAGCAAAGCCATCTTGCAGACAGCCTTTTTCCTCCCACTGTCACCCAGGACAGAAATTAAATTTTCAGTCATTTGGACTTTTCATTTGCCTGGAAGTTTTCAAGTTTCCTCAAGCTCTTTACTGAGACCTATTTACTTTATTCCAATTTTAAATTACGTGGAAAGGCAAGTTACTATAGGAATCTTTTTAGGTTATCCTCAATTATTTTCTAATTTTCCATACATTATTTGAAAATAACAGAACTACATTGTTTGAGCTATCATCTCACTAGTTAAAACTGACAAGCTCTCCCTTTGTCAACGTTTTGAGAATGCATATACTTTTAGAGTGGTATGCTACTTCCATATTTGGGTGGACCAAATAGTTAAAGTACACACTTCCCATGAAAATGGTGACAATCAAGTATATTTTAATACTTATGCTATTGCTTTAAATTAAACATAAAACCTCACATTTTGCTTATGAGCTTTCATTATTACCTATAAAATGAAATAAAAACCCAATAAAAATTCTATAAAAACAAAAGCATAGTAGCATCTCACCTGGCATTTTTCCTTTACTTGAACCTACAGTTTCAGCACAGTAAGCTAAAACAACTTGTAAATACATTGCGCCGAATGCTGGGTGTATATTAACCCTTTCAGGCCACTGGGGAGCTAGTGAACAAATTACTGCTCCACTTATTGACCTTTCCCTACTTGCGCAGAAGCAATACTTTGCCTATTAGCAAAGTAAAAGGTAAAACATTATCTACTAACTCTCCAAAGACTTGTTATTTGTTGTTTATTTAAACTACTGGAGAATGAAGACGCCAAGTGAGGAAAGAAAAGTTTTATATTTTAACACTGACAAACTTTGAGCTACTTAAAGAAAACTTGGGTTTCTACAAAGCACTATCAATTCATGAGCCAAATAAAATAGAATGACTTCCTAAAATTGTATTGTTTAAACTGAAATCAAAAAAGCAAAGCAGTTCAAAAAGAGCAGCAACTTGAGTTTTACTAATATCTCTACATTTCAGTAGATAACAAATCCATTATGTTAATTTTTTTTTCAAACTATACATCACATTACCTATTCCTGGTAAATAAAACAAGCCAATCCATTGGGCAGCTCTACATTTTGATTAAGAATCCTAAAATATAATTAATGTGCTGATATATAAATCTGGAAACCTTCGAAGAGGGCCCCAAAATGTGTTTCAATGCTCTTTTGGGAACTTCAAACAGCCTATAGCAAGGCACCAGACACCCAGATCAAAGGACACAGATATGAGTAAATCTTCTGTACCAAGTGTATCCCTAATTGTGTAAGCAAGGAAACTTTAATTAAACCACCAACCTAGAATATCAATCAGACACAGAATAAGAAACTGGGGAGAGACAAGTGCAGGGTCTCCTCAGAAAGGTAACAGAGAGGTGCGGAAGTTACTTGACCATTGGCTTGCATCTACACCCATTTCTGGCAAGAGAGCTAATGTTTCAAAAAAAAAAATACATTCATATTTAGCTATCACAGGCAAATTTTTATTAATCATAAACAGAACTCAGGCTCAGATTTCTGGAGAACTTCCTTTTCTAGCTTAAAAAAAATCTAATACAGAGTTAATAAAATGTAACTGATAAGAAAAAAATAAAATTAAAAAAAATAAAATAAAAAAAAATCTAGACTTGAATGATAACATTCAGTACTTGCAGCTGCCACTGAACAAAAAATAAAAAGCAACTTGCCAAGGGGAGATATATGTAGTCAGCTTTTCTTTTTCATTTGTCATTTAATATTTTATAACACATTCAAGATCAATAAAGCCTCCTTTCTTAAATAAAGCTTAAAGTAAACACTGAATGAAACACAAAACACTTGAAAGACTCTCCATGAACTGAATAAATAAGCCATCTGTGACTCAGGCTTCCCTATCGGGTTTGAGGCTGACCCACTTCTACAGAGTCACCACGGTTCGCAGAATCTCACTTCTAAGGGGCAGCAGGGCCGGCTCTGTGCCAGAGCATAGTTTGAATCCAACAGGGTAAAAGGCCGAGGCAAACAGCACCTACAAAAGGACACGGGTCTTTATTTAAAATGATCCCCCAATCCCCGCCTCTAAAACGGAACTTCAATACCAGCCTTAACCAGGAGCAGTCTTTTCTCCAACAGAAGAACAAATCATGTCTGTAGGGGAGAAAAGAGGGCAGGCAGAGATTGAGAACCGATCAGGTACTTGGTCCATCGGGTTCTGGAGATCAGACACCAGGTCTGCAGGCGGGGTGAGGTCGGGGGCGCGGGAACTCGGTTCAGCGGTCAGCTCGGCTCTAGAAAGCCCTGCGGGCAAGCTCAGGGCCGAAAGAGCCGACTGTCCTCAGGCCCGGACCCGAGTCCCCCACCCCCCACCCCCCAGGCGCCCTTTCCCCGCCCGGGTGGCACAACTTTGCGCAGTTCGTCGCCAGCAGCCCGGAGACCGCCAGGGACGCATCCCTCACCCCACGACCGGCTCTGCGGGCTTCGTCTCCGGAGGGGGTTAGCGGCGGGGGGGGGGGGGGGGGGGGGGGGGGGGGGGGGGCGCGAAAGTGCTAGAAGGATGCCGAGGCGCCGGAGGCACGGCTTGCAAGCCCCTCGCCCGGCCGCCCTGGACGCCGCCGCCACAAAGGGAAGGGCCTGGCCCCCGCCGGGTGCCCACCGCGAGACGCTCGCCGCGGCTGGGTGAGGCCGGCCGGCGGGGGCGCGCGGCAGGTGACACCCGCGTCGCGGGCGCCCGGGCCGAGTCGCAGTCTCCCCGCCCACCTCGGGCCTCGCCCACCGCGGCGCGCGGCGGGGAGCCCGGAGCCCTGCACCTCACAATGGTGTCGGGACGAGGCCACGGCCGAGCGGGGCGGCCGAGGGGCTCCGCACGCCACGAACGGGCGCCGGGGCCCCGAGGTGCGCGCGGTCCCCGCCCTGTCGCGCCCGCGCGCCGCCTCCTACCCTTTGGCGTGTTCCGTCTCCTCCTCATTGTCTCCGTCTATTCCGCACGTGTCCTGGTCGTCCAGCTCGAGGCTCTGCTGGCTGGCCGCAGACTCGCTGTCCTCCGCCATCGCGGCGGCCCCGAGCGGCTGGGAAGGCGGCGCTCCGAGCAGCTAGCGAGGCGCGACAGGGCGGGCGGGCGCGGCCGCGGCTCCCTCTAGTGCCGCCCACCCTCGGGCTCCGGGGCTGGAGTCTGCCGCCCCGCCCATCCCGCCGGCCCCGCCCACCGCAGCCGCCACGGCCCCGCCCACCCGCTTGCGGCTCCCGCCCGTCTCTGCCGTCCCGCCCGCCTCAGTCGGAGCGGGCCCCGCCCACCGCAGCGGTTCGCCCACCTTAGCAGGCACGGCCCCTCCCTCCTCGCGCGTCTGCTCTAGCCCACCTCACAGCCATGGCCCCGCCTACCTCGCCTTCCCACTTCCGCCTATTTTGGCTGGTGAGACCCCCCCCCATCCCGCGGTCCCGCTTCCGCCCCAGCCCGCGAGGCCCCGCCCACCTCGCCGGCGGGCTCGGGCGCTCTCAGCCGGCGCGGCCCCGCCCACCTCAGCCAACCTGAGGGCGAGGCCAGGCCCGCTCTTCTTCCTGGGTCTAGAGCCGTGAGGCGGGGTGTAGGGAGGGACTGTGGAGTCTGAGCCCGAGGCCGCAGGGGGTGGGGCGTGGTCTGCCCGGGACGCGCTTGCGGCGCTATGGCGGGACCTGAGATCTCCGGGTCGCTGCTGGTTGAATTTCAGTGCTGTGCGTCAGCGTTTGCGAGCACCGGCTACGCGCATCTGTGTGGCTGTTCCCTTCAGTGTTCTTGATTTCTGCAGGGCTTTTTTTTGGTTTTTCGAGATAGGGTTTCTCTGGGCTCGCTCTGTAGACCAGGCTGGCCTCGAACTCACGGAGATCGCCTGCCTCAGCCTCCGAGAGAGAGAGAGAGAGAGAGAGAGAGAGAGAGAGAGAGAGAGAGAGAGAGACCGCGCGAGCGCTGGGATTAAAGGCATTACTACCGTGCCCGGCAGGGATTTTTTTTTCTCACTCAGGCCCGCTATTTCCTGAGGCTCTCCCTGCTTCCTCACACATGTACTTCAAAATTTTCCACTTCATGTTTCAATATCTAATGCTTTTTAAATGCACTATAATTTATTCACTTTATATCCCAGTTGTAGCCCCCTCCCTTGTCTCCTCCCGGTTCCACCCTCCCTCTCAATCTCTAATGCTTACCATGCAAAGTCAGAATGTTCCAACCTCCCTACCTCCCTGCTGCAACCTCAAGAGCTCTCAACAGAAAATTACTGGCGCTGGCTTTTTGTTGTTGTTTTGGTTTTTTTGTTTTTTGTCTAGACGGGTTCAGCTGAGAACAGAACGAACATTTTGTGAGAAATGGTGAAGATATTCAAATTGGGGATTTGGGTAGTTTCAGGCAGGTCATTCTGCTTTCTCCTAAGTGAAGGTCATGACCTCCAAGCAACTGTGCTTGGATGGTGTTGAAATACTCCTCCAGTAAACAGGAGAGGAAGGAAGCCAAGCACGGTGGCCCATACCTGTTATCCTAGCACTCTCCGGAGGTAAAAAGATGAGTTCCTTGGAGCCAGCATCCATTATGTACAGAGTTCAAGGACATCTTGAGCTATAAGAGACTGGTCTCAGAAAATAAAAGGCTGGGGATAGAAGAAAGAGATTCTCTTGTGCTTACCAGATAAGACAGGTGAAATTCACACGTCTCTTAAATGCTTCCCACAGCACTCCTTTGCTTTCCAGAGATAGGAAGTGTTCAAAGATCCTGCCAGACCTCCTGAAGTCTGAGTGGCAGTTTTACAAAGGCAGTTGCTGAGAAAGTTGCCAAAACTCTGTAATGAGGGAGAACTCCTTAAAATCCACTCAAAAACTTTAGTGTAATGCAGGGAGAAACCCCCAACACAGACAACACACACACAAGGATATGTACCTAAAATGCACTGAGCTAGAATGACCTAGAGAAAAAATTGCAGAGCAACTTCAAAGTCCAACATTTGTTTGATGTTCTTGGAAAAAGTGTAAATGGGACCCAAACATGGAGAAAATGCATTTTTGTCCTTCACAACTGCAGCTCTTTTTGAGACAGGGTGAAAGGTGGCGTCTAGATTCGTACTTTAGGATAAAGGCAGGCACGGAGGAGTGAGGCTTCTGCCCCTCAGCTATGAACATAAACAGCTGACTAACTAATCTGCCAACAGAGATCTAACCAGGAGGTAACCTAAGGGATCAGAGGGGTTTGCTGCAGGAGACTGGGGAAATCAACATCAGGATTAACATAGAGAGGGGACCAGTAGGCAAAGAAAGCCTGGAAGCCCTTCTTCCACTTAGCCCACAGAGCATGGAATAGGAAAGGGTATTATACTCAAATATGTGAGAGGCCAGGAGTTGCTATGTAAAAGTCCTCTGAAGGGTCATGTGCCTTGTGGCCTAGTGCTTTGAGGGGCTTTCCCCTCAGCCCCCTAACCCACTCTATTCTCAGGAGTGTCATTTCTTAATAAACAAACTATATTTCTAACCTGGTGCAGTTTCTTATCCCTTGGTCCTGAGACAGGTGCTTCCTGAACTCAGATCCATGCCTATAAGAGATTCAAGCAGTTTTCAAACTCCAAGGCAAAGGAAATACAACACATTTATTTATTTTAACTGTCAAGAAACTCCAAAAGAAAAAAAAAAAAGACTGAGAAAGCAAATAATCCTGGAGAAATAAAGAGAGGGCATCAGAAGCCAGTAAACATCAGAAAATAATGACAAGTGGGGACATCTGTTCTTCAGAACAGAAGGGAGCAGCACCAGACCATTTGCACACTGCTAGATTGAAGCCTTATATAATTCGAAGGTTTCTCAGCAGAATATTAATCTTTTACAGGAAAAAAAAGTTTGTGGACAGCCCTGAGGGAGTCCTAAATTCATGTTCAGAAACAATGTCTCTAAAGGGCTTTACTTCTCTCTCTGGCTTCATCCAGAGGTCTGGGGATTCAGAGCCAAGTGATGGCTTCTAGAAGATGAAATCCAAGGTCTAGATGAGGGGAAAACACTTCTGTAGAGTGTTTGCCAGTGTGTTAAAAGTAGCCCTTGGGACTTTCTCCTTCTGCGTGGCTCATCTTCTATTAGAAGTACAAGACCACGATTGTGTAGTTGGCCTTGTTCGTTTCCAAAGTATATTTTTAAGTGTCCTGAAATATCCAACATCGAACTTACTGTCAAACCCCTTTTCAGCATATGGCTGGTTTCACTTCACGCTACTCACATGTAGAACACTTTCCCCTTGCCTACCTGCACCTCTATAGCCAGTAAGCAGCACTGCTTCCACCTCCTCGCCTGCCTGTGGGAGCGACCATTCTACTTCTGTTTTTGAGCAATAGTCCTTGGTGTCTATATCAGCTGCTCCCTGTATATTCCTGCAAGAATTCAATAGCCATCCAAGTGGTTATAGATGATATAACTCAGTATAGCCAGGGATGTATAACGTTTTTAGATATGAAGTACATTTTAAAGACAAAACAATAAATATTATGTAGGTGTGTCCATGTTCATGTGCACATGCACATTTAGGCGTGCCTGTGTGTTTGAAGGCCAGAGGACAGCCTCGGGTATCATTCATCAGTTTTTGTTTTTTTAAACAGGGTCTCTGACTGGCTTAAAATTCAGCCATGTAGGCTAGGCTGGTTGGCCAGTGAGACCCAGGGATCCTATGGTCTCTGCTTCTCTACCACTGAGATTTCAATAATGTGTGACTACTCCTCACATTTTTTTTTAAACGTAGCCTTGGGAGAATCATACATGGTCCTCATGCTTGGGAGGCAAGCATTTTACTGACTGCAATAAATGCTTGGGCCGAATCGCCTCTGCCCAATAATCAAGTTTTTGAAGCTATGTAGAATGCATATAATGCGTAGACTGTTGGTAACTACAGTTGTCTGGAGGAGGATATTCAATAGGAAATGTACAAATGGCTCTAATTACAATGAGAAAATTATACAAGTCAATGCATCTTGAGAGAATAGTACATATTGTAATGCTACATAGAACTAGACTTCAAACATACATTTGAGTGTTCTCTTCTTTCTCTTCTTTTTTCATCTCTGAAACTATAATCTGAACAAGAATTGTTGTTGGGGGGCATCTAGGATTATAGACAATCCTAGATATAACAAAAAGTCTCCAAAGGAAATATCTGATTAAAACTAGAAAAGATTCAGTTTGGCCTGTATGTTTACCAAACTAACTCAATTCTCCAGAGGATAGGAAAGATTAAAACACCTGATGAGAGGTTTAAGGGACTGGAGAACAGAATGTGAGAAAATAGTCCAATTATTTATTTAATTGGAGAAAGAAGAATATGAAAACTGTAAGGAAATTAAGAGATGGAGTGACAGAGGCCTTGCATGTTTCTCCTCTGTCCCTTGGAGTACTTCCTACCATGAGCACAAGCTTGGCTTACTCAGATGTGGTCTCCAGCTCTTGGTTGGTCCACCAGACAACCACAGGTGTGTGACGGACAACAGCAGAAGTCAACACCGTGCCCCACCTCCCCACAGACTTGTGAGAGACGGTAAGTAGTCTCGGCTTTCGGATGCCAAATTTCAGAGTATCTTATTGTACAGCAGTGCCCGCCATCCTAAACCAAAGCAAAGACCATATCTTTCTAAATGGCTCATTTTTTATTACTAATTATGATTACTCTCTGTATTCCTGAATATGTCTGAAAAACTCATTCCAATCAAAAGTTCGAACTGACTATCCCTGACTGCTGATCTTCGGCCTTTTGTTTGCCTTCACTTCTTTTTAAGACAGTGATTCCACACCACACTTGCACCTTTGCAAATTATGTGTTTGACCTGACCCTTGGAGAACATACCTATAAACCCAATACTAAAGAGACTGAGGCGAGATTATTCGTTCCAGGCTAGCTTGGATTAAAACACTTGTCCAAAAAAACAAAACAAACAAACAAACAAAAAAAAACCAACCAACCAACCAACCAAACAAACAAACAAAAAAAAACCCAAAAAAACCCCAAAATTAAAAACCTGTACACTGAGAATACATTTTTATGGCAATTCAAAGTCTGGCTTCCACCACCTATTGCTAAGGATTTTTTGTATGTTTATGTTTATTCTTATTGTTCAAATGAGTAGGAAAGTGCTACAACAGATGATGTATATTAGCTACACTATAAACCTC